CCAGCCAGAGAGAATAGGCAGCGAAAAACGGAGATCTGGTATAAGCTGAGGTTCGGGCTTTAGGTAAAGTGCAGGGATTGCGCGTAGGACGAGTGGGAAGAAACCAGTTATATTTACGCAAGTGTGGCGGGGCTTTGTCAAGACGAATAGAATGAACAACGATACACAGTTTTCGATCCGCTTGACTAGAGATAGGGAAGGTGTTAAACATTATCGTACAGCTCGGCAGAAGGAAAGTATGATGGTTTTCGGAAAAGGACTTTCAGTATCCTCTTATTGTGGACTTCCAGGGTACTCATTAACGATTTACTTAGTAGGGATAACCAGGCGGTTGAGCAATAGAGAAAAATGGGGAGAATATAGCAATGGTAAAAAAGGCGAATGAATTCAAGCGGTAGGTGGGAGCAGTGAGACACGAGGTAGCCAACAGCTTTACTGACTTTGCTACAGATATAATCGACATGTCTACTAAACGATAAGTTTGGGTCAATGACCAAACCAAGATGTTTGTGTTGTTTACCACTGTGAGGTCTGTGAGGGATCCGGGAAGAGTGAATGCATAGGATGGCTCTGAGTTCGGCAGGAATAATATCTCAGTCTTGGCGATATTAGGTCTTAGTCTCCAGGTAGTCATCCACTGATGGACTTCGTTGATACCGCGCTGGAGACTGTCTCGCAGCCTGTCTAGACACTCATTGAACCGGAGCAGTGCAGTATCGTCAGCAAATAAGGACAAACCTTCAACATGACTGGGAAGATCATTTATATACGCTAGGAAAAGGAGGGGCCCTAGGATGGATCCCTGGGGCACTCCGGACAGAACAGGTGAAGCATCTGAGAGAAGTCCACCTACAAAGACAACTTGCGTTCTGTCGGATAGGTAGTCTGTAATCCACTCCAGCGCTGAGTCACACACACCGAAAACTTTGGAGAGTTTAGCAAGTAATGCACGGTGCCACACGGTGTCGAAAGCTTTCTCGAGGTCGAAAAAGCACATGGCAACTTTCCGCCCCATATGACGATGGTCGGCAATGTTTTGGATCAGCTTGGTGAGCTGTAGAGCGGTCGAGTCACCACGACGAAACCCAGATTGCGCGGGATGCAGAGCAGGAGAAATATGATTGTATAATTGATTGAAGAAGAGCCGTTCGCAAAGTTTGGAAATACAGGACAGTAGGGAAATTGGGCGATAGTTACTAGCTTGAGATTTGCTGCCTTTGCACTTGTAAATAGGCACAATTTTAGCCAGTTTCCAGTCAGTAGGGAACTTGCCTGTGGTAAAGGAGAAGTTAAATAGGCGGCTAAGTGGAAAAGAAATCGCAGGAGCTAGCTTCTTTATCATATTGTTCGTGATACCGTCTAGCAATGGCGCTTTCCCAGATTTCAGGTTTGAGATGGCTTTACGAACATCTGCTGTAGTGATATGAACGCGGGTGAATTGGCGAGTAAGACGAGTGTCATATTGGAGAGGGGGTATTACTAAACGTGGGTCATCAGGCACTGCGACAGAGGTAAACTGCTTGTTGAGGATGGTTGCTTTTTGGAAGCTGTCAGACACCAGCAGCCCATCAGGGCTTGCAATGTCAGGGATGCCAGGTTTTACTTTGTGCGATCGCTGACTGCGGACAAACTACGTACCCCCATACCAAGATGTCCATGCATGCTAGACTGATCAACATGGAAAAGAGAAAACATTACTTCTTCTATCCATTATTTTACTACTTTTGTACTTGTAAAATTACTTTTATTGCCAAATTAGTTTGAGTTACCTTAGACAATTATCATGTTCAACTGTCTTCGTAATCGTCACACTCGTCCAATTGATGTCACTTTCATCCTGTGATTAATCGGCTCATCTCTCCCGTAGCTCAACCTCTCCTTCCATGATGACCGAACATCAACTATACCTCGATATTTTTTACAAAACAAAAACAACAAGGACAATCAATGCTTGTTTACTGCTACTTCAAGTTTCATGCTCTCGCAATCATCAGACAACATGAGGATGGGGTGATCGAGCATGAAACTTGAAGTAGCCGCAAACACGCCTTGATTGTCCTTGCTGTTTTGTATTACGCTCTGCCTCCGCGGTGTTGAGCACTGTCAGCACACTGGCTACATCCTCCGGTCAATTTTTTTAGATACATATAAGAGCATTATCCATAGCCTGCACAGTCATGGCTGCTAAAACCATGACTTCGTATCATGCATAATGTACATGAACGCGGAGTTTTGCGGACTACCCATCACTATCTCGTCCACCCCAGAATACCTGATAAAGGCTGATTCACTCACATTGTCTACTACATGTACTGTATCAGTGTGAGAAAGGACTTTGAAGAAGACCAGTTCAAGCATACAATAATGTACTGCCATGATTTCTTCCCAGCTTTTCATTGACAACACTATCTACATGACCTCTGAACCCTTTACCATGCTGACCACCAGCACAGACCCGGTGCATTGTACACAATAGTGTAGCCTACAAACTAGAGCTGTGGCACAATCATGCTCTCTCTCTCTCTCTCTCCCACCCTCTCTCTCTCGCTCTCTCTCTCTCTCTCTCTCTCTCCCTCTCCCTCTCCCCCCTCTCTCTCTCTCTTTCTCACTTGATCTCCCTCCCTCCCTAGCTGCATTCCTATCGATGCCTGGTCGTAGGCTATGATTCCGAGACCTCCGGTCGGATGAGCCTCGCCAACCACATCGGCACATCGCCCCTACTCCCCTTTGTCCTGTTGTCCAGTGTCATTTCAGTTGTCCTCTTCCCCTGACTATTAGTAGGGCTGTGTTTTTAGTAAAAAAATAGTTATGCTCCTAGCTCCGAAAGGATGCCAAATTATGCTTCAAATCTTCAACCACCAAATTAAGCCAAAAGTTATGCCGGCATAATCCGCCGGTGCCTAACGGCTAATGGAGTTTCTCGACAATTGTGCCAGTGGCTGTGAGACTTAACCACTAATCCCCACCGTTAGGCGCTGCATCTGCCGCTAGGATTTGTCGGGTGTTAGCGGCCGTTGTGAGTTCCCTTCGGGAACGGTCACGATAATTTACAAAATTTACTTTCAGAGAAAAGTTGTTATGTACATGAAAAATGTCCTCTTGAAAATATTTTCCAAAAAAGAACTTAAAAGACAACATGTCATAGTACTCAATAGCGCAATACACCGATCGTGATAACAAGACGGTCAGTGAATTGTAACGTTAACTCTCGGCTCCAGGTTCGTATCATATACATGTTAGCATTGGTCAGTAGATATGTCCATATGTCCGGTGTCGACTGGCGTTTGCATTGTTGTGGTCGGCGATCATGTGCATCCGCGGTGCTCGATCGTCATATCACCGTCCTGTGAATGCATTGCGAGAGTTGGCAATCTCGGAGGGCCGGCTGTGAGGTTTTGGAGACGATGGTGGGCAGGACAGTGCCCTTGTATTTTCCCTTTTTTTTTTTTTTTTTTTTTTTGTTTGTTTTTGTTTTTGGTGTTTGTTTTTTTGTTTTTTGTTTTTTTGTTTTTTTTTGTTTTTGGTGTTTGTTTTTTTTTTTGTTTTTTTTGTTTGTTTTTTGTTTGTTTTTTTTTTGTTTTTTTTGTTTTTTTGTTTTTTTGTTTTTTTGTTTTGTTTTTTTTTGTTTGTTTTTTTGTTTTTTGTTTTTTTGTTTTTTTTTTGTTTTTGCGTTTTTCACACATACAATTGTTTTCATTTTTTGGTGTTGTGTTCTAATCATTCGCCATGCCACTGTCAATTGTATTCTGTTTGCCCGTAAAAGAGGCCTTTTAGCATTGGTCAGTAGATTATTATCGTGCAATGGACACTCCCGCACATCCACTGTACTGTGTTGTACTGGTCTCAGCCTGACAAAGGCGGACACAATGACTGGGGAGTGGGGTACTGGTGTTCTTGCACTCTGTACAAGGTAATAATGATACATGGTACATTGTCCACGTACTTGTACACATGTACTCCATGGGGCAACGTGAATATACATTGGAGAAGGGTAGGTGTATGAATGTTGCATTCATTTCAACTAAGAGAATGACATGCTAACTGGTTTGAGGGAAAGAGACAAACGGGAAAGGTCTGAAGAAAAAATTCACTGCCACCACCAGGACTCGAACCAGGGACCCTCGCTTGTAGCCAGCGATGCTCTAACCACTGAGCTATGGTGTAGTCGTCATCCCAGCAGAGGCCGTTCAACATTTTCTTCAGACTTCGTAACTCACACTTCCTGTGAATCCACACAGGCGGGTGGGACGCAACCCTCACTGTAACCCACACACTTCATGTACAAACTAGCACGCGGGGAGCCCCAAGTCATAAAATATTAACTGGTTTGAGGGAAAGAGACAAACGGACATGCATGTACATTTTGTATAGTGGTGGTGCATCTGAGAATGGAGGACACCTGTTAATCAAGGACATTTGCGCTCAGTCTCATGAGTGTCCGTTATTGTCAGGTTTGACTGTAGTGAGGATTCATGGTAGTGTGAGATGTACATGGTATAGTTCCAACAGAAGTGCAAGTGATCATGCTATCGCCGAGCAAACAGACGATCGTGGGATAGGAAGTTGTACGTTGGGAGTAGTATGGTCCTAAGTCTAGTGATGGAGTTTCAAGTCTAGGTTAGTGAAAGGTAACACTTGGTTTATTGGTCACGATTTGACACCAGGTGCGACCTCTTGTTTAGAGACGTCAAAAATGTCAAAACCACCTAGCAGCTACACCACAATGCTAACATGTTATCCATCATCACGGCGCGCCAAAACAAACATCATGAGCAGAGAACAGACACCGCGGCCTACACATCAAGCTACACGCATCCCAATGATGGCCATACCCCTCCCCCCCCCCCTCGCCCTCTACCCCAGGTGCAAATCCAAATCTGACAAATGTATGTTTGCTCCGCGATGACACTATCACCTGCACTTTTCTTTGTGCTATCAATATCACACCACCATGAATCTAGGTACATTATTAGTTGAACGGGTCACATTGTAAGAACATTGTCTATTGATGCTTGCTGCATTCACCAGGCCTGTTTGGAGACTCTTCGTCACAAGTCATTGTACAGAGATGTCGTGCATTGAGGAGCGGGATGCCAATGAGCTGGATGCCAAAGAGCTGGATGCCAAAGAGCTGGATGCCAAAGAGCAGAACGACCAAGGGCCGAACTGCCAAAAGCAGGACGACCAAGAGCTAGTGTCAAAAGCTGAAAACCTGCCATGCTGCGATTCCCAGCATGCTAAAGTTCATCAAATCAAAGAGCCGGACGCCCAAGATCGGGATACTCAAAAAGGGAATGCCCAAGAGCGGAATACTGAAGATGCCCAAACCCAAAAGCCGCCATGCTTGGATCCTAGAGACCGAAGGAGTGAGGCCGAAGAGAGTGAGGCCGAAGAAAGTGAGGCCAAAGGGAGTGACGCGCAAATGAGTGACGTCCAAAAGAGTGACGCCCCAGAGAGTGATGAAGGGGAGCATCTTGCCCAAGATCTGCGATTTGTCAAACCGTATGAGCTGCTCCAAGAGATGAAGCAGCATGACGAACAGGAACAAGAGAGTGACGCGCGAAAGGTTGACGTCCAAAAGAGTGACGTCCTAGAGAGGGACGCACCAGGGAGTGACGCCGAAGAGAATGACGCCGAAGAGAGTGATGCTGAAGCAAGTGACGCGCAAAAGAGTGACGCGCAAAAGAGTGACGTCCTAGAGAGGGATGCCCAAGTTAGTGACGCACCAGGGAGTGACGCCGAAGAGAATGACGCCGAAGAGAGTGATGCTGAAGCAAGTGACGCGCAAAAGAGTGACGCGCAAAAGAGTGACGTCCTAGAGAGGGATGCCCAAGAGAGTGACGCACCAGGGAGTGACGCCGAAGAGAATGACGCCGAAGAGAGTGATGCTGAAGCAAGTGACGCGCAAAAGAGTGACGCGCAAGAGAGTGACGTCCAAGAGAGTGACACAGAAGTGAGTGACGCCCCAGAGAGTGATGACCGGGAGTATCTTGCCCAAGTCCTGGGATTTGTCCAACAGTATGAGCTGTTCCAACAGATGAACCAGCATGACGAACCGGAAAAGCGGGATTACCAACAGGAAGATGTTCAAGAGTGGAAGAAATTGAAAGAAAGGTGGGAGAGATTGAAAGACCAATGCGAGCTGGAGGTCAAACAGGTGGAACAGGGGAAGCTACGTTTCCAACAGCAAGAGGCGAACATATCGAAATGGAAGCGGGCGGCCCAAAAATGTGAGCGGGACGCCCAACCGCGGAAGCGGGATTGTGACCAACAGTTGGAGAGGGATGTCCAACTGCCGGAACGGGAGCTCCAGGTCCAACAGCGAGAGCGGGAGCTGCAGGTCCAAAAGCGGGAGTGGGAGCTGCAGTTCCATAAGCGGGAATGGGAGCTGCAGGTCCAACAGCGGGATCGGGAGCTCCGTGTCCAAGAGCGGGAACTGCACGTCCAACGTCGGGAATGGGAGCGGCAAGTCCATCAGCGGGAGTCGCAGATGAAGGCCCAACAACGGGATTGGGAGCTGCAGGTCGTACAGCGTGAGCAGGCGGTTCACCAGCGTGAGCGGGCGGTTCAGCAGCGTGAGTTCAGCAGCCATAAGCAGCGTTAGTCGGACGTCCAAAAACCGGAGTTCCAAAAGTGGAGCGGAAGGTCCGACAAATGGACGTCCCAAAAGGAGACTAGGAAGTAGCGGGCGCAGTGAGACTGCCACAAGCACAGCCATTCTGGGATACTGATTCTGATGGCCAACAGCGGGAGCGGGACTGAGAGGCCGTACACCAAAGTGAAGGACGCGGAAATGCTGGACACAGAAAAGACGGCAATGCTTAGATACCGTACCAATTTTCAAGCATGACATTGTACATGTCCCTGTCCACCAACCATCGCTGGATGATGGTCCGTGACGTAGAATACTACGGTGTACTCATGTATGAATTTCAAGCAATGTTGCATAGCTTGTTCACATACTGTATCCATCGCACATCTTGATTTCTTCCTTTTCTTGCCTAGATACGTACGCTATGTACTTCCTGTGTCATGTCTTGCCACGCCAACCTCGTTCGGAATTCTCTGCCAAGTCCGACTTTCTATGTATTATGCTGGAAGCACTCGTGTGCCTAACCATTCTAGTACACTTTTCTGCACAAGACCGAACACTCGACGAAATAAGCTATCACAACTGAATGTACGACAATGTGTCATGCTGAACATGTGTACACGTGTGTGTTTATGTGCATGTGTGCGCGTGTGTGTGTGTGGAGGAAAAGGGGGGGGGCCCGATATGTTAACATTCTCAGTGTCATTAGGCACTAAGGTGAAAAGGCATAGTGGTGGCCTGCGGAAGCGAAGGCTATACCTTGTGTGTTTCTGAACATTTAAGTGATGCTAACGCGTATCACGCGAATATTATACTGGACATGTAGTTCAATAAATAAATACCGGTATGCAGTGGATATTATACTTGACATGTAGTTCAATAAATACCTATGCAATGGATATTTTGTCGTTCATTGCCCTGATGATAGGCCAGGCTCGAAATGTTGGTGTAGTGAAAATTTAAATTTGAATCGCTGTGAAGAGACAGGTTCTGGAGTTGAGAAGTGAAGTTTCCTATAATTCATGTATAAAACTAAAGGTATTTCCTGAAAATGATGCGACGGACTGTGAGGCTGAGATCTTAGTAGGGGGTAAATGAGTTTAATATCATTCGGGCAATTGCTTTCTTTACTGCAGAAGGAATTGTGATGCAGTGTACATCAGGCGGCAGACAGTTCCAGTGCACACTACCAATGAACTGAGCCGTGAATCGAATCAAGCGGCATTATGCAGTACCTCACGGTGGAAATGAGGCCTTATAAATCTCCCAACCCCTGGCTCATTCCTCCGGCATGCATGGTGCGTAGATTCGGCAATGTTAGTGCACTACTCAAACTCTTCATATCTTATTGGTGTGACTGTGACATGATTCCGTGAGAGTACCTCACACGATTATACATCAATCAACAAAACCGTCTTGTAAGACAGACCTGGCACGAGAAGTTTGATAGTTTGCAACTGCAACGAGATGTTCAGCGTTTCTCCATCATTAGCAAATCGTGTCCTCACCTTACGTTTTTGAAAGATTTTTAAAACCTGACAAAAAGGCGTCAAAACAACTGCATGTCTGCACAAGGACAAGGGATCGCCCTGCGTTTTTCCTCAAGAGTTACAACGCTGCTAGCTACAGACTAAGTTTCAGGACACTGGTACCTGATGGACATTCTCTCAGCTACTGGAGAGCACACTCTGTTTACCTCTATGTACTAACTTTCCTGGCTGTTATTTTCTAGACGAAGAAGGCTGGTCCGAAATGTACGTCGAACATTGACAGTACACAGTAGCGCTGAACAGTGACGATCTCATTGTAGTTGCGAAGTTGTTTCGCTACTTGCCTGAAGAGCACTTCAGGCACAATCTTCCTCAGCCTACTCAAGCTCAACTGCTGAGGGGTGAATTCCCCGAAACACTGTGTATTGAGCAGGGAGTGGTGCTTTCTTGCAGGTTTGCTGAGTGGACGGTTCGATGGACTTCTCGTGTGCTCTGGATGGCAGACGTGAGTCAGTCAAGTTAGAATTCATGTCAGCAGGAAAAGCGCGAGCTCCTATGTAGGGAGCAACACACACTTCCCCAACTATCGCCGAAGTCGCACCAAGCTCTTCTTCATAATTATTGTAATTTCGCCAATGAAAGCAAGGCTCAGCAACTAGAAAAGTGGGGTTACGAGATTGTGACACGGTAATAATAAATTAACAACCGTTTTTCCATGCAAGGGCAGTGCTTTTGTTTGCACCGTGGGGTGGTCGCTTGAACCAGGTTTTACTGTATGCCCAGCGGTGATTTATAAATTGAAGTCATGTGGTGCGCATTAGCGCTCTTCACAAGAACATCTTCAAATTTTCGCCTGTTCGGCTTTTCGCTAAGCTCAAAAATAAATCAGATTCGGCTGCAAAATCAGCTAATTGTTTGAAAATCGGATGCAAGATTGGAATACATGTACATGTATATTGGAAAATCGGCTCAACAAATTGTTGGCATATTGGCTTCAAAATTGGTGGGATATTGGAAATACAGCTCTGCTAGATGGAACTGGCCACAACTGTACGTTGTAGTGTGAAATTGCACTAGTAACGTTCTTCCAAATGCCTAGTTTTTGTTTGAGAGGAGGTGAAAGGACCTCGATAGCGCTAACCAACGGCCTTCCAACTTGGAAGTTTATTTTGTGTTGATTCCAAAAAGGGGAGCGCGAGAATAAATAATTTTTGCGTGTGTTTGTGTATGTACATTGTGTGTGTGTGTGTGTATGTGCGTGTGTTTGCTGTTTGTGTGTATATGTGTATATGTGTGTATGTTCGTGTGTTTGTGTTTCTTTTTGTGTTTGTGGGTGCTTGCGTGCACGTATGCACGCTTGTGTGTATGTTCTGCCTGTAAGCTACTCAAGGTCAACTGGGAACTTGTGGCCACGTACATGGATGCGGCGGATTACGCTCGCCAAATCAAGGAATTGTGCTTTCATGGATTCTCGCATTATGCTCGCAAAGTCTTCATATTACATGGATGCTTTGGCATGCGGGGATACATATTCACTTTGTTGTACTAATCGGGAGCCTCAAAGTTCTGAAGATTGTGCCTTTTTCGTACTTGCCAGTGGCCATAAGTACACCAAAAGGTTACATGAGTACCCCCATACCAAGATGTCCATGCATGCTAGAGATCAACATGGAAAAGAGAAAACATTACTTCTTCTATTCATTAGATTACTACTTTTGTACTTGTAAAAAGACTTTTCATTGCCAAATTAGTTTGAGTTACCTTAGAAAATTGTCATGTTCAACTGTCTTCGTAATCGTCACACTCGTCCAATTGATGTCACCTTCATCCTACAATTAATCAGCTCATCTCTCCCGTACCTCAACCTCTCTTTCCATGATCACCGAACATCAACTATACCTCGATATTTTTTTACAAAAACAAAAAAAAAACAAGGACAATCAAGGCTTGTTTACTGCTACTTCAAGTTTCATGCTCTCGCAATCATCAGACAACATGAGGATGGGGTGATCGAGCATGAAACTTGAAGTAGCAGCAAACACGCCTTGATTGTCCTTGCTGTTTTGTATTCATGTGTACTGGTGTGTTTATTAGGCTCCGGCGGATTATGCTCGCGAAATCAAGGAATTATGCTTTCGTGGATTCTCGCATTATGCTCGTAAAATCCTCATATTATGCTTTAGCACCCGGGGATATACATTCACTTTGGTGTACCTATCGAGCCTCAAAGTTCGGGAAATGGTGTTTGATAGTTTGCAACTGCAACGAGATGTTCAGCGTTTCTCCATCATTAGCAAATCGTGTCCTCACCTTACGTTTTTGAAAGATTTTTAAAACCTGACAAAAAGGCGTCAAAACAACTGCATGTCTGCACAAGGACAAGGGATCGCCCTGCGTTTTTCCTCAAGAGTTACAACGCTGCTAGTTACAGACTAAGTTTCAGGACACTGGTACCTGATGGACATTCTCTCAGCTACTGGAGAGCACACTCTGTTTACCTCTATGTACTAACTTTCCTGGCTGTTATTTTCTAGACGAAGAAGGCTGGTCCGAAATGTACGTCGAACATTGACAGTACACAGTAGCGCTGAACAGTGACGATCTCATTGTAGTTGCGAAGTTGTTTCGCTACTTGCCTGAAGAGCACTTCAGGCACAATCTTCCTCAGCCTACTCAAGCTCAACTGCTGAGGGGGTGAATTCCCCGAAACACTGTGTATTGAGCAGGGAGTGGTGCTTTCTTGCAGGTTTGCTGAGTGGACAGTTCGATGGACTTCTCGTGTGCTCTGGATGGCAGACGTGAGTCAGCCAAGTTAGAATTTATGTCAGCAGGAAAAGCGCGAGCTCCTATATAGGGAGCAACACACACTTCCCCAACTATCGCCGAAGTCGCACCAAGCTCTTCTTCATAATTATTGTAATTTCGCCAATGAAAGCAAGGCTCAGCAACTAGAAAAGTGGGGTTACGAGATTGTGACACGGTAATAATAAATTAACAACCGTTTTTTTCATGCAAGGGCAGTGCTTTTGTTTGCACCGTGGGGTGGTCGCTTGAACCAGGTTTTACTGTATGCCCAGCGGTGATTTATAAATTGAAGTCATGTGGTGCGCATCAGCGCTCTTCACAAGAACATCTTCAAATTTTCGCCTGTTCGGCTTTTCGCTAAGCTCAAAAATAAATCAGATTCGGCTGCAAAATCAGCTGATTGTTTGAAAATCGGATGCAAGATTGGAATACATGTACATGTATATTGGAAAATCGGCTCAACAAATTGTTGGCATATTGGCTTCAAAATTGGTGGGATATTGGAAATACAGCTCTGCTAGATGGAACTGGCCACAACTGTACGTTGTAGTGTGAAATTGCACTAGTAACGTTCTTCCAAATGCCTAGTTTTTGTTTGAGAGGAGGTCAAAGGACCTCGATAGCGCTAACCAACGGCCTTCCAACTTGGAAGTTCATTTTGTGTTGATTCCAAAGAGGGGAGCGCGAGAATAAATAATTTTTGCGTGTGTTTGTGTATGTACATTGTGTGTGTGAGTGTGTATGTGCGTGTGTTTGCTGTTTGTGTGTATATGTGTATATGTGTGTATGTTCGTGTGTTTGTGTTTCTTTTTGTGTTTGTGGGTGCTTGCGTGCACGTATGCACGCTTGTGTGTATGTTCTGCCTGTAAGCTACTCACGGTCAACTGGGAACTTGTGGCCACGTACATGGATGCGGCGGATTACGCTCGCCAAATCAAGGAATTGTGCTTTCATGGATTCTCGCATTATGCTCGCAAAGTCTTCATATTACATGGATGCTTTGGCATGCGGGGATACATATTCACTTTGTTGTACTTATCGGGAGCCTCAAAGTCATGAAGATTTTGCCTTTTTCGTACTTGCCAGTGGCCATAAGTACACCCAAAAGGTTACATGAGTACCCCCATACCAATATGTCCATGCATGCTAGAGATCAACATGGAAAAGAGAAAACATTACTTCTTCTATTCATTAGATTACTACTTTTGTACTTGTAAAAAGACTTTTCATTGCCAAATTAGTTTGAGTTACCTTAGAAAATTGTCATGTTCAACTGTCTTCGTAATCGTCACACTC